AAACCTAAACCCCCAAAACCCCTAAACCCCTAAACCCTAAACCCCAACCCCTAAACCCTAAACCCTCAAACCTCTAACCCCTAAACCCCCCTAAACCCTAAACCCTAAACCCCTAAACTTTAAACCCCTAAACTTTAAAATCCCGTGAGACTTTCAGACTTGTCGAGGCCTTCCTGCAACGGCGTTGGCGAGAAGTTGTGGAAGCAGAGACAGGTCAAGCCCAGACCAAACTTCAAACGAAAGAAACACGGAAGCCACAGTTTTTGGGGGGTTTAGGGTTTAGGGTTTAGGGCCCAGACCAATGTAGAAACGAAAGAAATATGGAAGCCTAAGTAAGTAGCTCAAAACGAAGGAAACAGGAAGCCATTGTATTTTGGGGGTTTGGGGCTGGGGTTTGGGGTTTAGGGTTTGGGGTTTTCATAGTAGTTAGGGCTGCTCAGGAGTTTCATGAAGGAGCCCAAAACGAAGGCAATTTGGAAGCCACAGTCTTTTGGAGGTTTGGGGTTTAAGCTTTATGAGTTTTGGGTTTGGGGTTAAGGGTTGAATAGCGAAGCATAAGTAATTACCCATATTTCTGTTGGGGTATTCTAGTATGAAGGAGCCCAACACCGTATTCTAATTATTAGGGCCCCCTAAACCCTAAACCCTTATAGTAGCCCTTCTAGAACCTTTTATTAAGGAGCCCTCTAAAGGAAAACCCTAAACCCCAAACCCTAAACCCTTAACCCCAAACACTAAACCATAAACCCTAAACCGATTCAAGGAACCCCCCCAAAAAAAAACACAATCTAAATATTGAGCCCCGACATCAGGTCCTAGCGGTTTAAGGCTTTTGGACTTCCTTTGGAAAGCGGTTTAGGGTTTAGGGCTTAGGGTTTAGGGTTTGGGGTTTAGGGATCTGGTTTGTATTTCTTTCCGAGGCGGGTTATATTTAGAAGGCCCCAACCCTTAGCATCAAAATAGCCCAGAAGCCTTAGAAAATAGGGTCTTTCGGCCCAGAAGCCTTAACGTATGAGTCCTTTGAGGGTACGGGCAAAAGCTGCTGGTAGTGATTACTGACTGTGAGGGAGAAGCAGTTTTCAATTATCAGGATACAGGTGCCATGCAGGGCCAGTCTTTATGGGATTGTTTTAAAGGTTTGCAGTTTTTGTTCGTCCATCCGCTTCCAGCAATGGTGGTGGTGGTAGTAGTAGTCGTCGTCGTCGTCGCCGTCGTCGTAGTCGTAGTAGTCGACCACTACCACTACCACTACGACTACGACAAAAATAGCAACAGCTGCGACTGCTGCTGCTGCTGCTGCTGCTGCTGCTGCTGCTACTACTACTACTACTACTACTACTACTACACTACTACCACTGCTACCACTAGAAGCGAGTAGTTTTGCTAAATAGTTCTGCTAAATAGTATTACGAAATATGACAGCAATAGCAATAGTACTGTCACAAAAAGCCAACACCGGAGACGTAGGACTCTGCGACTATCCGGCTCTGGTGACGGCCGTTCGCGCCTCCAGGCCACCAGCTCTACGGGTGCGACGGTGCAACTGCAACCCTAGCCCTAAGATCGAAACCCCAAACCCTAAACCCTAAACCCTACATCCCAAACCCTAAACCCTAAATCCTAAACCCTAAACCCTCAATCCGAAACCCTCAACCGGAAAGGGACGCTTCAGGAGTTCCTTGAAGGGTTCCTGCAATGGCTCCTTCAAGGGTTCCAAAGGGTTGATGACATAAATTTTGCCATAGGGGTAGTTCTCTATATTAGGGTACCACTGTAGGTCCCCATTATAGTACGGCACCCATATAAAGGAATGTAAAAGGGTAATTTAGAGAACTACCCATAGTTTATTGTCCTTAAGGTAATGCAGGATGTATATCATCAACAGTAGGGCTGTGAGCTTGGAGTAGGCTTGTGGTATGTTTTAGGGCGTAGGAGTGTCATATAGGGGCCTTAATAGTTACCTATACTATCTTGGGGGGGGGTGGTCCTTCTCATAATAAAAGTATAATCTTAAATGCTTCGCGTCGTCCGCCTCGGCCCGGGCCAACGAACTGCTGGGCACCGTTGGCGGAGCGGCGAGGACCGGGGAAGGGGGAGGAGACAAGGGGGTCGGGGGGGTTTAGGTTTAGGTTTAGGGTTTAGGGTTTAGGGTTTTGGGGGCCAGGGGTGGGTGAGACTCCCTACAGAGAGACCAAATCCATTAAAGAAGGCGCGATTTCACCGCAGGACCCTGGGGCTCATTTTCGGGTTCACAGGGGATCATGAGGTGGGGAGAAGAGGAAGTCCGAATAGGAACCTCTGACCGCTTCGGCCGGGGGCCGAGACGAATTTACCCCAAAATCCTGTTCTAATTATTAAGGTTTCTTTCAGGTCGGATTTTATGGTCGAGCCTTTTCCCAAACTCCTAACTGTCGAGCAGGGTTTTAGGGTTTAGGGTTTAGATGCAATTAACCCACATGAACTGCTTGGGGTTTGGATGCGATGTCGTTCAGCGATAGCACGTCCAGGAACGACTTCCAGGAACACATAGCCCTACTGGCACAACACCTGTAAGGATCGTGAGATCCAGATGCGCGCTTGGGCTCAGACAGCTTCGTGTGATGGTGGCATGGTTTATCTAAGCAGTCGATCTATCTGTCCATTTTATGATTTTTATGTGTTTGTGCATCTAGCTAGGATGCATAGTTAAATCGAGGGTAATCATCGCATGGATGTGCACATGCAAAGTCACACATGCCGTGTCATGGCTATCTATCTATCTGTCTATCTGTCTATCTATCTATCTATCTATCTATCTATCTGTCTATCTATCTGTCTGTTTCTATATATGTATATACACCTACAGAGGCTATGCTATAGAGCATGGTTTATGTATGCATAGGTAGACTCAACTATAAAAAACCAATGAAGACTTTAATGCGCACATACCTATTTGTTTGCGTCAAGCTAGTAGAACGACTACTAAGTCAAGTCTAAGGCCCTAGTTGTTCGACACGGGTTTCCGTTTGAAGAAGCAGACAAAAGCAAGTTGGAATTTGCTGCGTGCCGGCGAGAGCGATGCTGCACATTTGGAATATGTCTGGTGAAGAAGTTGCAGCTTTACCCATCGAGGCAAAGGTACTGGAAAGCGAGTTTCATGAGCATCTGCAAGTTCGGGCGCTCAAACAGCACCTGGAGAGATTCTGTGGGTTTCCACGATTCCGACAAAGGCTCGTGCATGAAGACGGCACTCTGTTAGATGATCAGGACATGTTGAGACCCAGTGAGGTTCAACTGGTACTTCTGAGCTTCTGCCTAACATCCGCGTCCCGGGCTGCTGAGCTCGTGGAAGCGGCAAGAACAGGCATGACTGCGACGGTGGAGCAGTTGCTGCACCGCCCGCAAGACCCAAATTTAGGCAATCCGGCCCCTCTGCTGTTTGCTGCTGACAACGGACACATAGAAGCTGCTCGCCTCTTGCTGGAAGCCAGTGCCGATGCGAATATTTCCGAAAACACTGTGTTCAATGATGCCACCCCCCTGATACTCGCTTGCCAGAACGGCCACTTTCAGGTAGCGCGCCTGTTGCTGAGGGCAAAGGCCGACGTAGATAAGGCCGATCTCGATGATGTGACGCCGCTGCATCTCGCATGTCACTATGGCCACTTGCAGGTTACTCGGCCGTTCTTGAGAATTTTGCCTTAATTAACCCTAAAACGGTTTAGGGTTTAGGGTTTAGGGTAAACCCTACACCCTAAACCCTAAACGCTACACCCTAAACCCTAGTATGCATAGCCTCGGAGACCCTAGACTCCGCACACCCTGGCAGGAACAGAGCCAGAGACGCCCAAGTTTAAACCGTAACCCTTGGGAAACTATAGGGTTTAGGGTTTAGGGTTTAGGCCTCAGAACCCTAAAGCCCCAAGAGCGGCCAAGGTTGCACAACTCTTGCTTGAGGCCAAGGCTGTCGTGGACAAATCCAGTCAGCCTGATTCCGCCACCCCGTTGATGTTGGCTTGTCGTAGAGGCCACGGTTTAGGGTTGAGGGTTTAGGGTTTGGGGCCGGGGCTGCTTTTTAAGGTTTACTGGTTAGTTAGGGGCGCCTCTAGGACATTTTCAGGTGGGTAGTTACCGTAATAGGAGCCTTATAGAATGTCTATATACCCTATAGAAGCCCTGTATACCCTAAACTCCCCACCTGTAGTTTCCTTTAATTGGGGCTCTTCTGAAAAAGTTAACTAGGCAGATCTTATCATCCCTAAACCCTAAACCTGAACTGTGGTTTTACAGGCTTTGACACGGCATTGTGCGAGTGTTGTCTGTTTTTTCGTCAGAAGGTTCTGAAAATTCAGGTTGCCTTGGCTAGGCGTTCTTATATGTTTACAGGGTCCTACTATCCTGAAGAGTTCGTATCAGAGCCCCTGAATTTCTGAGTTTCCAGGTCGTTTCCAGGTAGCCTGCCTGCTGCTTGAGTTCAACGCAAATCTGGAGAAGACCGCCGAAGATGGCAGCACCGCGTTGCACCTAGCATGTGAGGGTTGCCACTGGGAAGTTGTACGCCGCTTGATCATAGCTGGAGCTCGTGTGGACGAGGCCGATACTTAGTAGCTGAGTGAGTACACTTTACACTTTTTGGGATTATATGATCCCTTATAGAACTGAAAGTGTACACTTTTTGGGGGCTTATGAACTCAGCAACTAAGGATAAAAGCGGCACAACTCCTTTGATCATGGCTTGTCACACTGGTCACTTGGAGATTGTGCGCCTGTTGCTGGAGGCCAATGCTGTTGCAAACAAGGCCGATGCCGGCGGCATGACACCTCTGAAGATGGCATCTTTGTCATAGTTGGGTAACATTTTACATTTTTAAGGGTACTTAAACCCAATATGGAATATAAATTTAGATTTTTGATACTACCCCAACCATGAACTAGGCATGTCGCAACGGACACTTGGAGATTGCGCGCCTGGTGCGGCAGGCTACTCGTGTCGAGACCTTGCAAGCCTTGAAGAGAGCCCGGCATTTCTGATTTCTTCATTCGAAAAGCTTCCTGGGGCTCCAATTCTCTCTGAAGCGAGGGGTGCAGTCGTTATTGTTACCATCTAGCTGAAGGGTCAGAACCCAGTCCCTAAACCCTAAACCCTAAACCCAGTACTTGGTAAAGGTTTGGGGCTGGAGGCTTGCGTTTCAAGATGACTAGTATTGCGCAGTGGAATGGAAGCCTGCGCTGCTGATACAGAATTACAGAATCAATCGGGTTTAGGGTTTAGGGTCCAGGGCTTAGGGTTTGGGGCGTTGGGTTTAGGGTTTAGGGTTAAGGGTTTATGTGATTCTTTTGGGTGCCTTATTATAGCAGCTACAGTATCATTATGACATACTGCCAAACCCCGTTCGAAACATTAAAACTTCTGTATAACTCCTAGTTCGTGGCCCTGTGACATTGCAGCTTCATGAACCCAGACCACCGGGAGGATCCAAAAAATAGATCCCCCATTTGGGGACCCTAACTACTAAAGGGTACCTTATAGGAACCTTTTAGGGGATCTATTTTTTGGATCCTCCCGGTGGTCTGGGAATCCACTTTCCATTCTGGAACGAAGGGTGGCAAGCCAAGACCGCTTCAGTCAGGTGGAGGCTGGTAGGAGGTAAGCCTGGGTGCAGGGCTATACGTCTCTGACCCGAAGCCCAGTTGGTTCTATGTTGATTGAGTAGATGAACGATTCGACAGATAGTGCTCATGGCCGTTGAGTTCATTGGCAGGGTTGTCCCAAATAAGACAGGGTAGTATCAAGGAGCCCTAAGCCCGAAAACCTAACCCCTAGAATCTGACACCCTAAGACCCTAAACCTTAAAGCCCTATAAAGCCTGAAGCCAGACCTTAGCAGTGTGGTTGCTATGGCTTCAGGGGCAAAGCCCCTATAACCTACCACCCTAACACCCTAAACCTTGAAGCTCTAAAGCCTAAAGCCCAAAACCCAAAGAGCTGGAATGCTGAAAGGCTTTAGGGTTTAGGGCCAAAAAGCTCCAAAGAGCCCCAAACCCTAACCCTAAACCCTAAACCCCATAAAACTCTAAACCCTAAACTCTAAAGTGGGCAGGGGGAGGACTCTGGGTTCGAACTTTTGTTCATCCCGCCAGAAACTGACCTGAAAGGTTCAGGGTTTTATGGGGGGTTTAGGGTTTAGGTTTCATGGGGGGTAGGGTTTGGGGTTTAGGTCTTAGTAAGTTCAGGGTTTAACGGGGTTCAGGTTTCGGCGGAGCGTAGCTTGTGAAAACTCTGTTCTACATCCAGAACGGCTGGTAAACATCCTCTTTTCGACCCTTCATCTACCCTCCTCTATTAGACGCTAAATACCCATGATTTGGAAGCAGAATACTACCCTAAACCCTAAACGCCTAAACCCCTAAACCCTAAGCCCTATTTGAGGGTACAACGAAGGTCCTGGCTACCTCCAGGAGCTCAAACTTTGAAGGATGCAGCGGCCCATAAAGCCAGAGGCAGATTCTTGGAAGACGCTGCGCAACAACATGAACACTGTAAAATCACTGCACACGTGATGTAAAAGATATGTCAAACCCCAACCCTAAACCATCCTAAACTCAAACAGACCGTGGATTTAGAGTCTTGCTAGTTACTTAACTTACAGTAGAAGCCAGGAAGTTGGAAGATCATTATCCTCATGCTCTCAAGGTAAGGTGTAGGCGATCCCAGCACTATTCATCCTAAATCCATGTTCCAACTTTCTGGGATTAAAGTGCTTAACTTTAAACACCCGAAAGCCTAGCACACCCCTAGAGGCCCCTCAGAAACCACACAACAAACAAACCGCAAGCTCTAAACCCAAAGCCTCAACCCTGAAACCCTCCACCTCCCCCAAACCCTACACTCTAAACTCTAAGCCCTATAAACAATAAGCCATGAACCCTACCCACCCTGAAAAACACAACCACAGACAAACGCCGAGTAAATCCACGCCTGTTTCACCTAAGCCCTACACCCCTCAACCCTAAACCCCTAAACCCTAAAGCCCTTAACCCTAAACCCTAAATCCCAAAGCCCTCAATCCTAAACCCCTAAACC